TATGCATGCTATAAGAATTTTTAAAGATTTAAGAATAAAAGAGAAGTAAAATAGTTAATGTAGTGGCATTAAATTGATAAGAATTTTTGAGCGGTTTGTCTTGTTTGATGATCTCGTTATATTAATTTATGTTTGGGTCTCAGTTGTTTGACTGCTGGACTAATGCTTGCTTACTCATGGATTTACTTGTGTATTTGAAGGTTTGATTCATGAGTTATTGTATTCTTGTTATATCGTTGGACAATGCAATTAGGTGTAAGCATTAGTTTATAACTGGAAATAACTGTAGATCGAGTGTGATCAACGAATTTTCATTTTTTAGCTTCAATACCCGTGCAGTTATGTTTGATTAATGATTTTATACTTATGGCAAAACTGTTGCAACCAATGGTGGTTTTTTTTTCTTTTTTCTTTTTCTTCCTTTTATCCGAATTTACCTATGTTTATTTTGGATGTTTTGGTTTCTTATTCAAGATTGTTAAATTATTCAAGATTGTTAAATTGAGAGCTAATTATTTTAAATGACTCACGATTGACGAGGTAAGGTGGACACCGAGGTTGCGTGTTCACAGGCGCGGATGATATATCGTTGGAGGAGCTCGTGGCAATCAATGAGTTTTGATGACCCGACCAATTTTCAAACCTTGGATGTACGACAAGATCAACGACACATTGATTGACAATCTCGAAGGGTTTATGAAGTGGAAGGAGTAATCAATGGAGTAATCAATGACAAGTAAGTTTTCAGCTCTTTAAGTATTTTATTTTTTCTTTCAATACTTTAAATAAATATATTCTTCTCTCTCTTTGTGTCTGTATGTTATGAAGAAAATGAAGAAAGACTAATACGAGATTAATAAATGTTGTAAGGAGATTAATAAATGCTTCGTTGATAATATCTCATTCATCTTTTCATTTGATCTCTTCCATTTGTTTTTTTCTAGTTACTGCAAAGTTTGAACCCTTTGAAGATTGTAATAAGTAATTTGAAATCACAATCGAAATATTATCTCATCATACGTATTTTGACAAATAGTGTGCTCTAGCTAAAACCTTGTTGTATACTAATATACTTTGTGATGATCTTTTTTTATATTCATTCTCTTTTTTTTTTTAGTTACAAAAATTCGATGTTATGACTTGATAAAATATCAGCTCCTTAGTACTACTTATACTAATAAGCTTAACTATCACTCGCAATAGGAAGCTTCTTATGGATTGTGTCGTTAACATCTCTTCTCCCATCTCTTTCTGATATTATTTTCATTTTTGAGTCCTGGACGATCAAGGATGGGGTAAGGCTGAATGCAGAGGTGAAGAAGGCCGATCAAATTTAAATGGATTTCACAGTAAGATCTATACTTCTATATCTATAAAAATTAGGTACTTCCCTTCAGTGTGACACAACCACTTTTCCCTCAAAATGGCATCGTTTTACGAAGTTAAAAAGACACCGTTGTAACGAATGAGGGTTTCGGGAAAACTCATTTCTACCTAGGAAACCTAATTAGCTGCTAAGTTTCTCTCATCTCACAAGAAGCAAAGGCACAATTCGGTGAGCCAAAAGTCGAAAAAAAAGCAGAGGGTGAGCTTAGGGATTTAGTTCATACAACCATTGCTGGGCAGCTCGTGGGAAAATATGTGGTGGAGCTTCTCTTCGATGTTCTGCCAAAGACCGTGAGAACTTTCGACGTTGGCGAGAAGGGCAAGGAAATGTCCGGCAAACCACACAAATACAAGGGATAGAGCTTCCAACAGTGATTCCTAACTACATGTACAACGGCGAGTCGAGTAAGAAACACCAAGTTCCCAGGAGAACTTCATCATCAAGAAACAGTGGTCCTCCTTTCCATGTTCATCGTCATTCCAGCTCGCAATTTTTTAGCTTCACGGAAAAGATCAATGTTTCAGGTTGGTATTCGCAAGTTAATTCAATTATATTATCCTTTTATTTGTGTTGGGCTTGCATAATTATTTTTTTCAAATTTATAACTTATGAATGGGAGTTTAATTTTCATTGGAGTGTTTTCTATGAAAGCTAAAGACGGAGAATTGTGCTTCATAGATTAATCTTAGCTGTTGTTGGCCTGCAATTTCCTGACTTCATCTCAAGCTAATTGAAATCGGAGGGAATTTTTTCAGTGTGAAAAACTTCAATTTTGACTTTCATCCAATGCAAAGATCGGCCCGATCTGTTTTCGTTCCTTCCTTCCTTTCTTTTCTACTTACTGTTTTTCCAATACCCAAAATAAAATACTATGCATACTAAATATTTTTTAAAGATCATCATGAGATATTTTTATTAAAATGCTAAAACTCTCTCTCTCTCTCTCTCATGGTGGTAAGTTATTTTTCCCTAAATTCTTCTTTTCCTGGAGATCGGGGACCTCTGAGACATACTTGATGAGGAATTAGACACTTCGTCGGGCCTCAGTGTTGAGACGGAGGCCAGCGTCGCCGTCGATCTTTGAGATTGACGGGGTTGAGACAGAGTCTTTGATATATAGAACTCTTGTCGTGTTGAGGAGGAGGCCTATATGTAGGATTGTTCGCGCCATGGCGAATCGTTCTCCGCCTTGTCGAAACCTGCCGATCGCCAGGGGAATCATTCTCCGCCTCGTTGAAATCACCTGAAGCGTGTGATTAAATTCGGTTCTCAAGTGTGCTGGGTTTTGGTTTTTCATTGGTTACCGTTTGTTCCTATGTTTCAAGTGGACAAAGATCATTATTGGATCCCCCGAAATGATTTCTCGAGTAATTTCGGAATTCATAGTTTTAGGTCTGCCACCGATCACTCGTAGAACACTTGCAACCCCTGACTTTTCGGATGCTGCAATCAGGAAGGACTACAACTAGGAAAGAACTTGAGCAATTTAAGACTAATTTGCAAGAAGCTGGTGTTGACTAACAGTTGTTGGCTAAATCTTGGAGAAGTGTGTTTGGTTCCGAACATGAGTTTGGACGATGAGATGAACCAGAAATGCAACACACCAAAACCAATCTGGACATGAAATCATATTACATGCGTCGCGTCTGATCGACCTCTTTTCTTCTTTTCGATTCATGAGTGAGATTGCTCTTGATACTAGTATCACGAAAGTCGATTCGCAACTTCCGTTCCATGCAGCTGTAGATCTCTACAAAATTCCCGGCATATTAGTTATTTCTTTTAGTTGCATTGTTTGTTTTAGAACTTTTAAGTTTGTTTAATAAAAACTTTTATAAGTTTGTTTAGTACTTTTTATTAGGCAACTCGTAGCCGTGTTTAAGAGAGGTTTATGTTCCTCTCGATTTGTACTCTAAGCAACACCCGCTTCGTGGGTTACCAAATCTCAAAGAGTAAATCGAGCCGTGTTTGAGATTTTATAACCCTCGAAGCGGGTGTTGCCCTGTAGAGTACATCCCGATAAATCAAAAGAACATAAACATCTCTTAAATACGGCTCCGAGTAGCCTAATAAAAAGATTATTACTAAACAAACTTATAAAAAATTGATTAAACAAACTTATAATGCAA